GCGGACGGAGAACCTCCTTGGGGGTGGGGGTGGCCGAGCCTGGAGCAGCTGCCCAGAGAGGCTGTGGAGTCTCCTGCTCTGGAGAGATCCCAAACCCTCCTGGCTGTAACCCTGGGCACCCTGCTGTGGGTGAGCTGCTGGAGCAGGGGGTGGGGTGAGATGATCTCCAGAGGTCCCTTCCAACCCCCACCATGCTGGGATTCTGGGATTTTTGTCATCAAGTCCCTCAATATAGTTTTTTCTGTAACAGAGAATGGTTTGGACTTTTGGCTCCCAAGAATGTGATTAAACAGCTCTGTGGAAAGTGTTTCTTGAGGCTGGGTCTCTGCTGCAATCTGCTTCCCCCAGTCTTTCCCCCCTGGTGCTGGCTAAGAACTCAAGAGTCTGATATGGGCAGAACCTAGACATTTTTTAAAATGTTGGATTGGAAGTAATGTGAAGACCTTTATTCTTCATAATAGTTGCTTATTGTATTTGCAGTCATTGGGGTTTTGTAGAACTGATCCATGTTCAACAAGAAGACAGCAGAAGTCCAAAAGTTCATGCTCTGATCATTCACAATCATATTTAATTCATAGGATTTATGGGTAACTGAAGTTGTTAGGAGGTTGCTTCTGTATGACCTGAAAACCAGGGACTTCTCTCAAATTCTGTAAGGTGGTGCCCTATGGAATAAAAACTGTCCATGGGAGTTCATAGATGTGCTGCAGCAGTGACTCTGGCAGTTTCCAAAGCCTGGGTGTTCATCTCCTAGGACTTAAATTTATTTGCAGGAATTGTGCAAAATGAGTGAGTGATTTGAGAAGCAGGATAATTTAACAAAAAAATGGCAGGCACTGTGGTTCTTCTCAATTGACAATGCACTGCCTGACGTTGTTGTTGTCAGGCTGTTGGGCTTTTAGTGACATTGGGTCTGGGATTATTTTTTTAATGGCAGAATTAGCAATGAGCATTGTGTGAGAAGGATACAAGCCTGCCAGGACCTTTATTTTTACCATGTGGTAACTTATCTGATCCAACTACAAATAAGACACGCTCATTTAAGCAACAGCCCTAATCATAGAGGCATCTCCCACCATGGTAAGACTCCTGCTTCTGGTCCAAAGACGAGGACAGAGCAGTTGTTAATGTAGTTCATCCTGCAGCACAGCCAGCAGTAAAGGCAGTCTGCTGGTATTTGAGAGCAGAGAGCCATTTAATATTCCAGCACTCCACTTAGCTTGTCTCCAGCTCACCGAAAGGTCCTGTGGGGAGCACTGAGATGAATCCCTGTTGGGAAGGACACGCGTGGCTCTCTGGGCCTGCAGTCTTCCCAGAAACACTCCAACATGAAGGAGAGCAGAGTCCTGCTACAAGCAGGACCCGTTGCCTGGCTTGGAAGGTGTCCTAGATGTGGCCCTGTGGTTCCATGGTCATGCAGTCAAACAGTTTGCCATGCAGTTGCAAATTGCATCAGCAAGGGGATTCTGCTTCAAAAGCACTAGGTGCATTTATAAAAAAAAATTAAAGTTTTTGTGATTGGAATCTGTTCCAGGTGATAATTTAGAAATACAAGCAACAGAACCCCAGAATAATATTATTAATGTTGCAGACCCCAGAAATGATGCATCAGAAAAATGCAGGCCACCCAGTTTCACTTATTGGGCTGAATCTGAAACCTAAAGATTGCAAGTAAAAATAGCTTTTTAACCTCTCTTACTGCTCCCAGTCTCACAATGCCTGCCATGATTATCTTTTCCTGATAAAAAATTCTTTACAGTTCCCTCCTCAGCATCCGAATCTCCAGCAACCTCCCAGACAACCTACATGGTCCTCACTCAAAAAATCAAATTCCACTTCCAAGCAGAGATTATGAGAACTGTAGCTTTGCTTATAATGATGCATTTTACTTTCAATGCTTTAGAAAATTCTCAGTTTAAAAGATAAAAGGAGGTCCTTTAAATTTTCTGTTAGGTGAGCAGTGGGTTTCTGGGCTCTGTGGCTGCAGAAAAAATGCGGGGTTAGGTTTTCATGAAAATCATAGAATGGGTTGGGTTGTAAGGGACCTTAAAGATCATCTGGTTCCAACCCCCTGCCATGGGCAGGGACACCTCTTTTACCCCTTGTAAAATGTCCTCCCCCAGGTTTCTTGTAGCCCCCTTCAGATGCTGGAAGCCCTCAAGGTCTCCTCGGAGCCTTCTCTTCTCCAGTCTGAACAACCCCAACTCTCTCAGCCTATCCTTACAGGAGAGATGTTCCAGCCCTCTGATGATCTTTGTGGTCCTCTGGACCTGC